GAGGGAGATAGCTTGCCATATGCTCCATTAGAAATGTTCTCTATTTATATGCAACTGGGACACGGGTGGCGCTGTGGGTAAAAGCCTCAGTGCCTAGGGCTTGCCGATCGAAAGGTCGGTGGTTCGAATCCCCGTGGCGGGGTGCGCTCCCATTGTTCGGTCCCAGCACCTGCCAACCTAGCAGTTCGAAAGCACCCCCGGGTGCAAGTAGATAAATAGGGACCGCTTACTTGCGGGAAGGTAAATGGCGTTCAGTGTGCGGCTCTGGCTCGCCAGAGCAGTGATGTCACGCTGGCCACGTGACCCGGAAGTGTCTCCGGACAGCGCTGGCCCCCGGCCTCTTGAGTGAGATGGGTGCACAACCCTAGAGTCTGTCAAGACTGGCCTGTACGGGCAGGGGTACCTTTACCTTAAGGAAATGGTGCCTTTCATTCTGAGTACCCTGTTGAAGATATTTCCTCCCCGTGCAACATAGCAGATAGATCAGTGTTTCCCAACCGGTGTTCCGCGGCACACTAGTGTGCCGCGAGACGTTGCCTGGTGTGCCACGAGATGTTGCCTGGAGGGAGGCGGGCGAGTCAGCCGGCGAGAGGCGGGGCGGCGGCGGCGAGGAGAGGCCGCCCAGCGCGGGGCTCTCGCCGTCTGCCTGCCTGGCTGCCTGCGAGCTCGGCGGGCAGCGCCTCTGTCCGCAGCGCCCGCCTCGCGGCTCTCATTCCCTGCCCCTGCCAAAGCTCACCCAGCCAAGCCGCGCTCTCCTTCCTGCCTCGCTTTGCTGCCCCCTACCCCCCCTCCAAAGCTTGGAGGTTCCCCGGCGCCGACCCACAGGTTTGACCCCCTTCTCACACCTGTTCGCGCTCCTTGCACGGAATGGGGCGGATGGGGAGGAACGGGGCTCGCCGCTGCCTCCGCTCGCCCTCCCCCCCTCCGCCGGCGGTCCCGCGATTCTTGGCTTTTTTGGCGGTTGGCACAGAAGGAAGGCAAGGGGGAGGGGAAAAAATTGAAACTTACACTTTCGTGCGTCCCTCCCGGCGTGACGCTGCGCGCTGACGTCACGGGGCTGTAATGGTGGAGTGCCTCGAGATTTTTTTCATGAAACAAGTGTGCCTTTGCCCAAAAAAGGTTGGGAAACACTGAGATAGATGATATATTCAAATGTAGGAACACACACACATACACAAAAAACCCAAAGCCATTGGAAAGCCATGTCCAAAACAGCTGGTCCATCTCCAAATGGGAATGATAAATCTGCGTAAAAGTTTCACAAATATGAATAGTCCAGGCCAATAAACAGACCAATCAAAGCAATGTCCCTCATTCACAAAGTTGCTCTTGCTTGTTGCTGCACTATCCAAATGTGGCGCTGAGAACTCTGCTTTTAAATCCATTTGGGTGGTCAGAATGCAGCTTGCCTAGACATTGTTTAAAGAGGTTACATTGATGCATAGCTAAGAGAAATGAATGCAAGGCCTGCACATACAGCTCAAAGTCCAGATTATGGCACTGTAGCTAGCCATTTATGAATATATCAGGTGGTATCCAACTAAGTTTTACTCAGAGTAGACCCACTGACAATGGCTAAGTTTCACTAATTTCAATGAGTCTACTCATGAGTAAAACTTAGTTGACTAACACCCGCTATCTTTTCTTCTTGTAACAAACATGCAACCACAAGGTCTTCATTCTATAAAGCACTCTTTCCCATTTCCATTCCCCAAAAATATCCTCACTTGTACACCTCAGTGTATGCTGAGGGCCACTGTGTGTGTGAATTGTGTGTTGGGTATGAAGGTATGAGCAGGGCAGGCTGCTTCAAGCTTCTCCTCTGGGTAACCTTGGTCAGTCAGTGCCACTCAAACTAGACTATATTTCAAGATGGTGAGAACGTGTATGCATGTGTGTGTAAAAAGTGGTGCACTTCACACACTAAGGCATATCATTGCTTGTAAGTCAAGTTCATAATGTCATGAATGAAAGCTGGCATTTATACTGCCTCACACCCTAAACACAGCACTGCCTTTGGACCAAAACCAGGTTTTAAAATACCCTCCCCCGCCCTGTCACATAGGGAACCAAGTGAAGAGCCCAACACCCTACTTGCAAACTCCCCGTGCACAATGTGAAAAGATACTATTGCTTAATGTGCTGCTTGGGTTAGGAGGGCACGACCTCACTTAGTGCCAAACTGCCACAGCCTCATACACAGCTTCAGTGCTTTTCAGTTGAGCATATGCTGCATTGCCTCCACACTTTGGGTTTTAGTCATCACGCTCTGCATCCTGTTGCTTTCTGATTAAGATCGCTAGCAGGGTGGTGTCTCTCAATTGGTATTTTAAGAGTCTCAGCAGAACAATTTCCTGTGGCTTGTCCACAGTTCAAGAGGAAGCAAGCAGGGCTCTCTAGCAGCCTATTTGTCGATCGCTTTCATTTTGTCGTCAAATTCTTTTTAATGTTCTTTTATTAGGAGTTGTCTCTCTTAGAGCTCGTATTTCAACGCTGTGGATCCTGAGAGATTTAAACAGGCCAACCCTGTATTTATTCAGAAACAATGTTCCAGTGATTTCACTTAAGACTTACTTCTCAGTAAGACAGCAACATATCATACGCCCTGAGGCAAAGGCAAATGGTCTTGGCCCATTGAAATTTTGGATTTTGTTTTTGTCTTTGAACAGCTCTCCCCAACTCCATCTCATATCATAAATTGCCACTTGAAAGCCCCCTCCAAATAAAAAAGCATTTACTATGCACAAAGGGGCTTGCTCAGTGAGGAAAAACAACTGTAAAGCTCCCTTGTGAATCTCACAGTTCTTGGGGGGGGGGGATTTTGGCCAATATGCTTAATGTTATGTCTCCAGGGATTTGCCAAGAGAATTCTTTTTGACATCATTTCAGAGCAATGTTAGGCAGAATTAGGCATACTTAAGTCCATTGATTTGAATGGTTCTAGGTGCACCTAGCTCTGTGCAGGTCTGGGCTGTTAAGCAACTGGTACACCCAGGAGGAAGTGAGTGTGTCTGTAATTACAAGTCCCACATCTTAACCGTCCACCTCCCCATGTTATCCTCCTCCTTCATTCAGCAATAGAAGCTTAACAAGATTACTTTCAAACTGAACCAAACCCCGAAAGAGGAAGAGACAAATTAAGGAATAAACATAAGCCACCAGGCTTTAGGTGGGGTGGCTTAAACGTTTTACCTTTTTGAGAATGGAGGGAACCCATTGATATTGTTGAAAGATTAATGAACAATCAGTTGCTTAAAATACATCAAACTTGGAAAGGCGAGATCATATATGCATGATCTTAAAACTGTACGTTACTGGTAGTGAGCATCTTAACTTTTGTTGGAAGAGGATTTCAGGTAACTAATCTGGTACGCATTGCACAAAATGGAGCTCTCAGCAATTCCAATATGCAGTCAATAAAGCCTAGTTTCACTTGAATACAATAGCCATTGTCAAGTTTTCATGAATAGTGGTATTTTAATTGACTATGAAACTGTGTGCGCGCACACATGCATGTTCCAGAGAAAAAACGGGTCTATTGCTTCTTCCTAGTATGGCTGAAAACCATATGTACAACTGCCCTAAGATGCATGGAAGAGTGGAATTTAAATGAAGTTATGAACAGAACAAAGAAAAGCACAGCCACTAAGGAGGTTGGAGCCCCCCACTCAACATACTAAGCACTGCTCAGTGCAGGAGTGGCAAACCTGTGGTCCTCTAGCTGTTGCTGGACATCAAATTCAGTAAACATGGGCAGTGATGGGGACAGTGGGAGTCTGGAAACCTTGTTCCCCATTCCTAGAATAGGAGTATAGCATTTAAGACAAAATATTGGTGCTATGGAAATGGTTTTCAAATTGTGTTCTAGGAACCTTGGATATCAATGGCAACCTTAACTAAAAAGGGGGCTTGCTCATTTTCCTCCTCTGCAATGCACACAACATTGTTAAGGCGTATTCTATGGCAGGCATCTTCCACCTTGTTGGACTCGGGACATGGGTCCGAAACATGCACTTGGGGGCCCACTTCTTAAATATTTTGCCATATATTTGCATGGTGCCGATGCTGCTGTTGTGACCTACCTTGGATCACCAGTTGGAAGACCAGTGTTTTAGAGCACCCTCATCAATTTGTACAGGACAGCAAGATGCAGCTGAGCAACACCCACTTGGCATGAACCACGCATCTGCAACACCCAGGACTTCCTCTCAGGAGACCCCCCAAATGTAGAAAGTTTGAAAGTTGCCACCTTAAGGAATTAACACTGTCTGGAGCAGCCTGCCACCCAAAGCAGCAGCAATGACATGGCAAGGTGAAAAGAAGTCTTCTTCAAACCATTCCCCAGCTGGAGGCTGCTGTGATGCACTAAAGACAACCTCCATGCACAGGCATCCAAAACTGCCAGGTTTTGCTGAACATGATTTTTAAAAAAATGTTGAAAGGGGAAACTGTTGCAATAAATATATTGCCCAAACACTGTCCATATAATTTGGTAGTCCAATGCCTTTTATAACAAAACTTTAAAATATATGTATTTTAAAAGCACAATATATAGGTTGTATGAACTAGTTCCTGCATAGACCTCTTAGAAATAAATGTGATATTTTAAGTTATTTTTGCAGATTGCCCAATGAATGTTGAATCCTAATATGCAGACTGCTCTTGGCAGACAAAAGCCGGAGGGGAAAAAATGTTTATGCAGGAGTCTATAAAGTCACATAATCTAATGTTGGTATAGGCACTTATACTTCCTCCTTTGATAACAATTCTCAAAAATATATATATACCAGAAATATATACCAGATCAGTATAATCCAGATTTTAAAACATTTTATTTTTGCATATTAAAAAAATTGTGCATTCCAATAATTAAAATCATTTGAACAAAAAAAAAATGGCACTCGGTTAACTGCATTTTACAGCTTGCGGGACCGTGGTACAGCTTTGCGTATATTCGGGTGTTACTAGATTACTGTAGTCCCTTCCCAGGATCTTCTCTCGAGACACATGCAAGCTCTTTCGTGCCACCAGGACCAAGCTGGACAGGCAGATGGAAAGGGCAGCGCCTTCGTTCACAGCATCAGTAGTTCTCTCTATTCTTTAAATTTTTTTTTTTTGGATGTGAAAGGGGCAGTACAGTCATTCAAACTTTATCCAACCTCCTTGCATCTTACAAAGTTAAAACAGCTAAAAGAAGTAAAATAAGAAGGCAATGCTTGTGGAATGTACAGTGCATAATTTGGAAGGGCCGGTTTCATTACGATTCACCCGCTTGCTTCTCCTGTTCAATTGCTGCAAAAGGGGGAAAGAAGGAGAAAAGAAAGAATAAGAAAAAAGGATTATGCATTTGAAATGCAGTTAAATAGGAATCGCAATATTATTTTTAAAAACCTATTCATTTAAAATTCATCAAAAATTGACACTGTTGAATAAATCTATTTTTAAAAAATTCTTTCAATATATTGCATTTATGTATACTGTGCTTAAAAGTCCCCTTATTTTCAGAAAATCTCTTTATTTTGTGTACTATATTTAATGCTTCCATTTGTACATAAATTGCACAGCATCCTGTAAGGTGCTGAAACCCCATCCAGCAAGAGAGGAGGAGGAGAGCTGAAGGAGCCTGGCTCAGCCCTGCCTTCTCTTTGTCTCCAGCGGCCCACGCCCTCTTCTCATTTCCCAAGATCCACTTACTTTCTTTTGAAGGCAGTGGGTTTTTCTCTTGCGTTTCCGTCTTCTTCAACTTAGACTTGTCGAATTTCTCGATTTCAGCCATATCTGGTTTGTCAGACATATCTGCCGATTGATCTGCACGCACACACAAAAGAGGGGAAAGAGATGGTTAGAGATTGCACCACCCTTCCTTCCTCTCCCCCCCCAACCCCACCCCTTTTCAAAACCGCTTGAATTCACTCCAACCAGCTCAGCTCCTCCTTCTTAAGTGCAACACTACTAACCCCCCCTTACTTTAAAAGGCATGTCTCTATATACTTATATTCATATGAGCTCATTTTACCTAAAAAAATTAAAATTGCACCACTGGAGGCTCAGCCTCAGATGAAACAGCACGCGGGGGGGGGGAGTAGGGAGGGAGAGATAATCGAAAGGCTTTAAAATAAAATTTGAAAGAAACAGAATTTGTTCCAGGTGAAAATCAATTAATTCGTTTAAAAGAAAAAAATACTCATTGTTTAGTGGTGGTGATTCATCTGCTCCAGTTAAGATCTCCCCACTAGCCTTATTGCATGTGGAAAGCACAGCAGAGAAAACCGCACTTAGAATAAAGTAAGCAAAGGATGAGGATGGTGAAAAAAGCGCCTGCGTGTATGCACACAAATGCCACCAAGCGAAGCGAGCGAGACTATGCTAATCACTTTCTTCCATCTTAGTGTCTGGTCTGCCCAGCACATTTGGAGGGAGCCCTGCATTCTTCCCTCGGCACAAAGAGCTCGCGCTGCAGCTGCAGCCCCAACCACCGCCCTTCCTCTCCCTCTCTCTCGCCCCCTCGCTTTCTCCTTCCCGGGGCCGCCAGATCCACAGCGCCGGCTGCTCGCCGGGAAAACAAAGAGCTGCTCTCTTTTGTCGCTCAACATGCGGGGGTCGGCAGCAGCCGGTCGTCCGAGGATGCCTCCCCCTCCCCGCCCGCATCTTCCCCTCTCCACCTTTCCGATCACGCCCCAAGTCCCCCTGCCTCCGAGGCTGGAGGTTTCGAAGCGCGCACACGCGCAAAAACGCGCCTCTCCAAGGAAAGCGCAGCAAGCAGGCACGGAAACCGAACCAAGGTGCCTTGATCTGTCCAGCATGCCATTCTCTCCCCCTCCGGCAAACATCAGGGTCCAGGGGTGGGGGGCAGGCAGAACCTCCTCGCTCAAAATGATAGCAAAATAATGATAGTAACGATAAAGCTTGTTTCTCCACGCATTTAAGCCGCCGCCTGGTGCATTCAGAAAGAAGCCCTGGGTGTGTTTGCGTTCAACAAAGCGGAGACCAAAATCTCAACTGCCTCGAAAATCCAAGCCTACGGCAACATGCGGACGGGAAAAGGGGTGCTGAGATACCCCTCAAATAACCCCCACCACCGGAAAAGAAAGAAAGAAAGACCAGAGCCTCACCAGTGATGCGCTCTCTTCAGGTACAATTCCGCTCTCTGCAGCAGCTGCTCTGGACCGTCGTATAAAAGGGCGCTCCCCCTGCGTGACCAGTTATACCCCGATTCTATGCAAATCGCAGTGATGTCATCTTGAATAACTTAACTCTTTCGCCGCCCTTAAAGTTCCCGGCTTCCTCTTTTCTTCGCCCTCGGAGAGAGCCGTGCTGCATAGGGAAAAGGAAAAGCCAGCGATTAAACCCACACGTACCGGGGGGGGGCGGGGAGGGGGGAGAAAAGAAGAAGAAAGTAGCATGTAAATTATGATTCGTATACATTCTTGTTCCCCGCAAAGGGGGGCGATTTTGCATGCGGGCGTTTCCAGTAAGAGCAATTTTCTTTTTAAAAATAATAATAAAATAATGAAAGGCTGCATTTCCTTGGAGAATTTCCTTGCACCCGCTGACTTGAGAAATGATCACGCCATACAGGCAGCGGGCCAGCGAGACCCACGGGAGGCCTACCTATGCAGACCTCGACTAGAAATATCCTACGGTTTTTCTCCAGCCATCCACGAGGCATCCCATGAGCTGCATGGAAGGAAGGTTGCGACCTACCCTTTTGTGCTTCCTCTTTCATCCAAAAGGGCAAACAATGGCTGCTGCTCACTTGGAGTGAAACGCAGGCACCGTTTAAATTAACGACTTAAGGGTAAAAGTACCACTCGGCTGGTCAGATATTACCTAGCTTACCTTGCCGGGTGGAGAGGCAGATACACCCTAGCTTACTTAGGAGGTGGGGGTGACAAGTCATGTTGCCAGACTTGGGGTTGGGGGGGGAGGAGATCGGTTTGTAATTTTGGATACTCTTTATTTTATTTTAAGTATCTATAAAAACAAGAAAGCATCACAGATTCTCTTGCTGCTGGCTGAGGACTAATCATTCCAGTACCCCTGAGCCAGGCATGAAAAAAATATGTACGAAGGACCATCCCGTTTCTGAAAGACATTTCCCTGAAATGATCGGGAAGTTGTGCGAGGAAGCGATGGCACAATATGCTTGAGCGAAGAAAGAAGCCTTGTAAAAAACGACCATTGATGGCTTCGCCTTGTGCTTCTGTTTCCCTGACTGGGGGGGGGGTGTCTCTGCCGGCTGCTTCCAGTCATGCTTTACCCCAAAAGACTGCATACATCTTGCTCTTTTGTGGATTTCCGTTGTCGTTGTTGTTGTCGTTGAGCAACCTCTCCCGATTGATCACATTAGGAAGATTTTCTCATCTTCAACCCACCCACCCATCCAGCCCCCCATCTCCTCCAGTTCTTGACTGGCGGCCTCCTCCTGCTGCCTTTGCAGTTTGCTGCTGCAACCCCTTGCAACCTCATGCGCCATGCTTTTTTTTTCTCTCTCGAGGTTCAGCAGACAATAGCTCTAGTGTAGTGAGGCTGAGGTCTGCCCATCCCCTTCCCTTCCCCCCACCCCCAAGTCCTGCTCCCTCTAACTGGTTATTGCAGATCATGCCAGCTTCTTGCGCGCTGCCGCTGTCTGTTGCATGGTGGCTGGGGAGAATAAGCTGTAAAAAAGGGAGTGGAGGAAGGATTTCGCAACAGGCAGGCCTTAGCTGAGCCAGATCGAGGTATATTCTTGTTGCGTGTACAAGAATTCAACTGAAGCTGTAGGGAAACATCCAGCCTCTTGTTATGAGACTCACTAAGGGCTGGGTGTATAATGCTGCTGAGAAGGGCTTCTCCTGAAAGATAAGCAGGAGTTAAAAGGAGGACATTATGGCACACACAAAAATATTGATGATGATTTTACTTAATGAGGCATACGCAAAAGCAAAAAAGCTATGACACTGAGATTCAAGAAACATTCCGAAAAGGGGTTTTAAAATAATTTTCTCTTGAGTGACTGTGCCACCTCTCTGCGAAATTACCTGAATTTGCTCATCGGGGCATAAGCACACAAAGGTGCGATTGCTCATTGATTAGCAGGAAGATTATTGCTTTAAGAGAATGGAAAGTTGGGGGGGTGGTTGTTTAAACGGTTTCTGGTGGCAACCCAGACTCTGAAGGGCGTGTTCCACACGAAGCATCAGTTTGAATGTTATGCCAGAAGCAGAGGACCTTTCTTCATCTCAAGGGCCACATTCCCTTCTGGCTAACTTTCCAGGGGCCACCTGGAGCCTTCTGGGTGGGGCAGGAGGTTCAGCAGGAGCAATGCGTACCGATTTTGCCTTTGTACCTTAGGCTAGTTTCTCCAAATTCTCGCACCCTCTATCTTCCATCTAGACACAAAAGAGGCACCAGCTGAGTTCGAGGGCACATTCCAGCCAGGCAAAAAGCACTTGGGGTGCAAAGCAAAATCTGTGGAGGGTGAGGCCTGAGGAGGTTCCAAAAGCCAGTGAGAAGAGAGGTGCAAAGGGCTGCATTTCCCCCTTTTCCTTGGTCCTGAGGTTCTCCATTCTTGCATTACTCATTTGATATGGAAAATGTTAATTGAATGGTGTGTGTGTGTGCGTGTTTGTATGCTGCCCCTTGCAAAAAGGAAATCTCTGCAATCAGAAATCTATCCTGTCGCACAGAGAGCTGGGTTAGGAAACCTGTCTCCCAGACATCTAGTTTTCTATGCACAAATAGGTTCATCTTGCCTTTTTTTTTTAATTTGAGGGAGATTTATTCAAGGAATTCCCCACCTGCCGTCTTAAACTGGTGGAGTCCAAAATCAGTTTTACTGCATGATCTGCTGTTTCTGTAAGCAGGACTGAAAATGTAACAGGAAGACGAGAAGGCTTAGAATATTTTTAACCCAGGGAGGCTTCATTCAAATCTCACTTCTGAGGTGCTCACTTTCAATTTTGTCTCCAGTTGATGAGCAGCCTCAGCCATCCTGAGGAAACTTGAATGAAATGGGGGGTGGGGGGCATTGAGACAACCAATGAGTGATAGACAGATACAGCTTGTAGCAATTACTGCTGCTGTCAACATCACGGAAAGCTGATGCCCGCAAATGTTTCTCCACAAAAAAGGTGACTACACACACATGGTCAAGAAGGCTGCTTACATATAGAAAAAATATTCCTGTGTCAACGAGTATTGGACTGCTGAGATGACGCATACACACACACACACACACACACACACACACAAACTTCAAAGATTTGTGGCCCAGTTTTCCACCTGAAAAATGCTGCTGGATTATATGCATTTTTAATTTTAATGGCAAATTTTAAAATAACAGAACATTTTGCATACATACCATACCTTTAAAGCACATTGCTAACCCCCCCCCCAACCCTGCAAAGGATCCTGGAAACATTTGACCCCTCAGACCTCACTCAACCTACCTTGAGTAGGATCATTGGGAGTCCTAGGTGGGGCCAAATAAGGGCCCTCTAACTTTCCGTCCTGTAATTTGATCATCTTGTGGGAAAGAATATCTTTATTTATTTTTATTTTTGCCTGACTCAGCTCAACTGAGCAAGGGCAATCATTCCACATACTCAAAAATCTTTAGACCAGTTATCTAAACATCACAGAATTGGCTTGGGAATCACTATTGGGTTTGTTAGCTTACTGCGTTTGCAAACATTGCTACAATTCTGTTTGACAGTTTTGCACAGTCTACGGTTGTTTCTACCTACTTTAGAAAGATGATCCTGTATTTGTATGCTTTTTTTAAAAAAAAAAAGTGTATTGCAACTTCTTAGGAAACCCCTAAAACCACAAGGCTCACACTTTGTCACAAGAGTTGGTAGCTCTGCTGAAAAGAGAACTCTCTCTGTAGTATTATCTCTTGCAGGCATTCTGTATACAGTATTGGAAGGAGAAAAATAAAAGGGCCAAGTCCCTTCTTAACATCAGGGATGGGGAACTTGTGACCGCCAGGGGGCACTGGACTACAACTCCCATCATCCCTGACCATTGACCATGCTGGCTGGAGCTGATGGGAGTTGAAGTCCAACGATGTTCCCCATCCCTGCCCTGAACACATGAATGAATAACAGCAGCAGTAAGAGATTAGCACCAATAGTGTTATTTTTTTACATTGGTTGTGTGTGTGTTTTACTTTCTAGAGGAGTAAATCAAGGAAGTTGCCTGATGCATTGTTGTGAGACTGCAAGTAGTACTACTCAGAAGTTCTAGATGAGAAGATGCTTCCTTAACAGCCTGTCTTATTTGTTTCTATCTTGTGCAGCTATTTGATTACAGCCAGTGGCATCACACTCTGCTATTCATTCCTGTACTTCTAATCACTGAAAATAACTGCATCATCATCACTGTCATCACTGCTCTCAATGAGTAATGCATCACCCATACCACACACTCACTACTGCATTAACTATGGTCACCGTGGTTGTGTATAATGTTGCACGCCACCCCAATCTCTGAACAGTGTGAGATTCTAAGGCTTCCAGGTACTCAGGGTTCATGTTTCCTTTGGAATGAGGCACAGTGGAGACCGTGGTCTCTTTACGATATATGGTTTATTGACACATATATGCAACCTGAGCCTATGATGGAGGGGTTCACAGCACTCCAAGAAGCCTTTGCAGGCTTCTGCCTCTACCAGCAAGTTGAGGGAAGGGGGCTCACCCATTTGTTTTCTGGCACAGATCTACTTCCTTTGTTGCCTTAATGGCCCATTACCTTACCAGGAAGCTAGCCTGGCTATTCTTTGAATCTGAATCCTTTTAACACTTGCTGGATCCAGGAATTAGAAGCAAACCCAGGCATACAGCACACATCCCCCCAAACTCATAACAATGTAATGCCCAAGTTACATAAGTTCTGGAGCACAGTGGTACCTCGGGTTAAGTACTTAATTCGTTCCGGAGGTCCGTTCTTAACCTGAAACTGTTCTTAACCTGAAGCACCACTTTAGCTAACGGGGCCTCCTGCTGCTGCCACACCACCACTGTGCAATTTCTGTTCTCATCCTGAAGCAAAGTTCTTAACCCGAGGTACTATTTCTGGGTTAGCGGAGTCTGTAACCTGAAGCGTATGTAAACTGAAGCATATGTAACCTGAGGTACCACTGTATTTGAAAGTTTGCTACTTGGTTGTCCCTAACAAAAAGATTGTCCAACTGTGGGTTTGGGGGGGGGGTTCTCCCAGCCCTGCATGGATTGGCACAACTACCTGTGTTTTTATCA